TTGATTATAATTACTCTACCATGTTTGAGGTATGTATTATCATGTCATGTATCCGCTTGGAATGGTCGTCGGTCCATTCTGGGTTCTAGTGGCCCTAGTCTGCCCACTAGAGTGTGCACATGGCCTCCGGCATTTTTATGCTTGCAGATGAGGTAACAGTCATGGTTCACGTTCACGTGATGATATCAGGTTCACGTTCATGTTATTACCTGTTTCATGTTCAGGTTATGTATATACCAGGATCATGATATTGTTATTATTTTCACTGTTTTACTTTAGTATGAGTTTCTGCGGAGCACAGTGTTTTAGTGCTCACGCCCCCACGTATTTCATGTTTTTCAGGTCACAAGGTCGGGGACGAGGAGTGAGCTGACGAGCTGTTCAGGACATTTTGTTATGTTTTGTTATGTATAAACTATGTTTTGGGCACGCTATAGAAAGTTGTATTAAAATTATACGTAATAATGGTGCAATATAAATTATAAAGTTTCAAACATTGACATTAACAAATTTACATTGAACGCTCTCTCAACTCATGAATTTCATTAATTATTGACTCAATACTAATAGTTTGATATTTTTTCTTTCCATTAAGCATATCTTATAAGGTCTACTTTTTCAAAAAATATTAATTTTTATTTTTTTCACATATCTACTATGCATTCAATTTATTCAAATTAAAAAAAATGTTATACAAAAGTGTAAAAAAAGTATAACTGTTGTCGAATTATTAGTAGAAAGAGTAATCCTCCCTATATATAATTACAAAATGCGCTGAGCCTACGTGGCTGCTTCTGGTGCTTCGTAATCCTACTTGGCGAAGAATCATGCTTCGTAATTAGGCTTGGACAAATAATATTGATATATTAATAAATAATAATTTAGGTTTGGACATTCCATAAATATTATTTAGCTAACTTAGGTATTTTAATATATTCCTTACTTTTGATTTGTTTTCTCCAATTAGCTATTGAATTATAAATGTACTTTAAAAGTTGATAGCTTTTGTATTTCTTATCGGTTTTACATATATAATATATCAA